AAAGTAAGAAGAAAGTATTTTAATAAAATATTCGCTTAAGCCGTTTAAGTAAGTTTGAAGCCAATTTTTATATGAATATCACAAACTAAAATGTGCTTTTATTAGTAACACTCAAAATCTGGCTTTAAAATCTAATTCTAACGTATTGTGTTTGTCAAAACAAACAAAGCCCAAACTCGAAACTATTATTATTAGTCGTTGAAGAGTTAAATTTACCCATCTTGCCTTACCATCATATCAGGTCGACGATACCGAATCACTACATTATCAACGGCAATAGAAATGCGTGCAAAGTTTCAAGTCTATGACAATTAGAAGTAGGTTAAAGGCCTTCCTTTCCACCCTTTATATTAGGTTTTTTTATTTTTTTAGGGGTGGTATTTTTTAACCGACTACCAAAAAGAAGGAGGTTCTCAATTCGTCGGCATTTTTTTTTCTTTATGTGTGTTCACCGATTACTCAAAGACGCCTGAACCGATTTTGAATTTTGTTTTTGTTTCGAAGGGTATATTTCCCAGGTAGTCCCATATAAATTTTATCGAAATCGGTCGAGCGGTTTTTAAAAAAATCAACAATAAATTATTTTTTTAAATAAATTGTTTAATCGAATATTAATATAAATAAATATAATAATAATATAATAAATATATTATGATAAAACTTTCATCTTACAAATTACCTGCTTGTTACGTCTACACTTCTTACACACACTTTATTTTCAAACATTGTATTTTCCTATATAACAAGTCTATTTTATAGGTACACATATTACAAACAAATCTGAAACAATAATTATATGACGACAACTGAAACCCACGATTAACCTAATTTAATCTGCATGATTGCTTACATTACACTTTCTGTGAATCGAAATATAATTCGTCAGAAGTCAGAACTATTTCTATCGTCCTACGTAGAACCTAGTAGGTATCCTGTCCGTGACGTCTCGATGCGTGCATTGCGTCGTCGCGTCGCGTCGCGTCGGCGCTTCACGATCGCTATTTTATGTACACCTAAGCATATAATAATATTGACATCTTTTAATATTAAGGTTTCAAAATAATCTTATAAAAGAATAATATCGATTTCAAAATATTTACTTTAGTCGTTCCTTAAAAAATATTGTACATATTTAAAAATGAGTCAGAGAAATAGGTATTTCCTTTTGTTTTGCAATTCATAGAAAATGATAATTGCTGTTAGGCACTTGTGCGTATTATTTACTTATGTACTGGAAAATTTGAAGATTATATTGAATTTTATTCCATGAAGATATTTTAATCTGTTAACTACTTGTTAAACTGCAATGGTCAATAGAGCACCTCAGAAGAAAGTATTACACTGACCACCCACCCTCGCTTAGCCAGTCAGGAGTATCACTTTAGATTGAAGGACTAACGCTCTGTCCGCACTGCGATATTTCACCGCACGTTTTTTTCTCGCAATTCTGTAACACATTGAGTCATATAGGAGTAGCCGTATTTGAGATTAAAAATTGACGCGGTTTAAAAATCTGTGATTTGATGATGCAAATTGAACGCGATGCGGTGCGGATTTCTCAAGGTCGTAAATAGGTGAATCCAATGTTCGTGACATCTTTTGATAGCTGTGTCATGCTGCCGCTGCCGCTGTAGTATCAGCTAAATCAACATTTTTCTTTAATTCATTTTAAGACTCAACCGGGAACTGCATCGAACTGACAAAAATCATACGATTTTTTTTCGCAGTGCGTAATAAGTATAATTCCGATCAAGGAATATAATATGCGAGAATAAAAATCACACGGTGAAATGTTGCAATGCGGACAGGGCCTAAGTAGAGCACGCCACCTAAGAATATAAGATAATCTGTGTCCATTTCTAACTTTCGGAGTTCACATCATATGTACATATGTATAATGTATATATCCAAATTTACAAACCTATCTATCTCTTTATAATTTGTATAAGAGCAGATCCCGTAATTAAATTTTAACTTGTGGTTTTCGGAGATTATTATATTCAACCCTTTTTTAACGTCCCACCGCTGGGCACGGTCCTCCCTCAACACTAGGGGATTAGGCCATAGTCCACCACGCTGGCCAAGTGCGGGTTGGCGGACTGCACATGCCTTTTCCAAACTCGGTAGGTTCTCTCAGGCATGCAGGTTTCCTCACGATGTGACCTTAAGACAAGTGGTAATCATGTTAGAAATGATTCGCACCTGAAAATATCAGAGATGCGAGACCTGGAATTTATACCCGCTTCACTCGGTTGCCCAAGTGAGCTCGTTACTACTGGGTTACACTACCCCTCGGAGATTATATTTCCATAGATAATAGAGATAAAATCGGAGATTAATGCCCGATTTCACCAACGTCACCTAAGTTTAAGGGATCCCCTAAGCATGGTTAAGGGGCTGTTAGGGGACAGTTTCTGTTTCACCGACAATTAGGGGTCACCTAAATGTTAAAAGGCCCCCTAAATTTAGGTGCCCGAAATATGGGCTTAAAGAAGATGGTAAAACGAAATTTAATTTAGGGGCTAGTTTAAGCCTCTCGTTTCCTTTATATGGGCCCATAAAATCCATACTAATATTATAAATGTGAAAGTGTGTCTGTTTGTCTTTCTCTCACGTCGAAACGGAGTGACGGACTGGCGTGATTTTTTGTGTGGAGATAGTTGGAGAGCTGGAGAGTGACATAGGCTACTTTTTATCGCGGGAAATTATCTCACTCCCACAGGAAAACACGTTATAATACAACCAAAAAAAATTATTGTCAGAATTACTTGAAACTTGGTATTAATGATTTTCAATACAAATAAAGAAATACGCCTTTTAGCATTTTTCGAAATTCGTCCCAAAACGGGGTAAAATAAGGGAAACATTTTTGTGTGAAACCTACCTTTTTGGTTTTTTTTTTGTAGTTTTAGCGCGAGCAAAGCCGCGGGTTCTGCTAGAATAATATATATTTGATGTTAGGTTTAATTGATAAAAAAAACTAAAACTTTTATTTTACTGGTAGTTGTTAGGAAAAAAGTAAGTATCAGTTGTACTTACCTACAACAATAAATTCCATAGCGATTAAATTGCGTATGTAAATTATGATGATGGCTGCAAAGAGGATATAAAGAAATATAATCAAATAGGTAATAAGATTTTTCCGTTTTGCATTCCTTCTCTAATAAATAATAAGTTTTATGTAAAAGTGTATACCATCATACCATGTGAATGAATGAATTACTTTTTATTGTACACCCAAAAAGAGAAAACAGAAAATATACAATATAATATAGAAGAAGGTACAAGAGGCGGCCTTATCGCTAAAAGAGCGATTTCTTCCAGGGAACCTTTAGGTGTAGGAAATAGTACTAAGATAGAAGGGGCGCGAAAAACAAATAAAGAGACAATAGAAAGATTATGTATTCATGTGCTTTGACTTTGAAATAATTTACATAAATTTGTGAAATTTCGACATTAAAGTTGATATTAAAAATTAATATTATTTGTTTTCCTTAAGTTGAGCAGAGAAAATATGCAGTTAAACTCCTTATTTATGCTAAGCCGTGTCTATTTTGGTTTCAACCATAATCTCGGTCACAAGTGGTTGTATGTAATCTGCTCAACATGATTAATGTATTGGAATTTATGAATACCTTTTAGACTCTGTTGTGTGTGAATTATTGCTTTTACATATTTATATACCTAATGGAGTTGCAGCAGCATATGATAGCCAAAACATTCAATTTATTTACTTTTTAACTAACACTATATCCTGTTTCGTTTTCAAGATATACAAAGATAACTTTGTGCTATGTTACTGAATATTATTAATTTATACATTATATATGCTTTCCACCAACATACTGATTAGATGACCGAATTTAAAGACAAGTTTGGCTCAGTTTGTAGTGACCCTACTTGATGTAACAGCGGTCGCGGGATCGAATGCCGCTGGGCGCATTCATTTGTGTGATGAGCACGAATGTTTGTACTCCAGTCATGGGTGCTTATATTTATAATGTGTATGTATTTAAAGTTATATATGTATAGTGTATGAACTATCTGGTATCCATAAAATAAGCCTCGTAGCTTACCATGGAACTAGATGGTGCTGTATGTTAATGTACCAACATGTTTTATTTATTTTAACAAAACTATTGGTTGTTATAGACATATGTATGTATTTTTAATTTAGTAGTCAAGACGCGAAACATAAAGGTAGAATAAAATATATTCAAAGTAGATAAAAAGGCATAAATTTACCCACTTGAAATATATCACTTATTATAATGGACCAGGGGCATCCAGAAATTACGTCTTTTGACTGGGTTCTATAGCGGAATGTTCGATTTTAACGCAACTGTAATTCTTATGATACTTCATAAGGTTATTATGGCTTATTTTTAGACACGTTTAATGATTATTATTATTGTTTTTAAAATCTCTGTAATATTTTACTAGATCTGTAAAAATAAAGTATGCAACTGCAAGTCCTCGGAAGGTATAGTACATTAAATCTATGGCTGACAAATTCTGTACAAGTATATCTTTTGCGATCATTTGTTTTTTATTTTAGTACTAGCATTGCCCGCGACTCCGCCCGCGTTCAGATGACCAAAAACCAAATTCTTAGGTTTTACATATTAGTATACCCTTCAATGCAGTTTTTGTATTTTTTCTCAGAAGTGAGATCTTTTCTCGCGGTAAAAAGTATCTTATATGTTAACCTGGATTGCCAGCTATCACCATATTAAACATCAAAATCCCTCCAGTGGTTTTTCTGTGATGCGGTAACAGACAGACAGGCAGGCAGACAAAAATTCTAAAAACTATAGATTCGGCCTCTGTATCTAAAATAATGTCTATTTCAATATGATTTCCCAAAACATATTTAATGTACAGATTCGGCTTAGTTACAATTTTATTAAATTATAGATTGTAACGGAGACTAGAAATTAATTTTGTCACTAAAATATATAATATAGTGACTATAAAAATATAAGTATGTTTCTTTACAGGGTACTGGGGCCTACTGCAGTTCTGCAGTTGGCGGAGCGGGAAGAGCCACCACCAGCGAATGCGCGACCGCTCTACTCGCTGGCAATGCGAGGAGCAGTCATATGCTTCTCGGGATTTCGAAAAAAAGACGAGCTTGTATGTATTTTATACAGTATATTTTATATGATAACAATAAGTTTTGTATAATTTTCTACTAGTGAGATCGTTAGTGTTGTTTCATACAATCGCAGATCACGTTTTATAAACAAAGCGACAGATTAATGTTTGTCTATTTCCTACTAGACGTACCTGATTACCTTGATCCACTACATGGGTGGTTCTATCCGTAAGGACATGTCGAGTAAAGTGACGCACCTGATAGCGGCGGCCGCGACGGGGGACAAGTATCGGTACGCGTCGGGCTTCGGCCTGCCGGTGCTGGCCAGGTCGTGGGTGGACGCCTGCTGGGACCGTCGCGACGATTACCAATGTCTGGCCACTGATGATGCTATCATTGTAAGTTTGCTGAAATATAAAATTTTATTCTGTGTGACTACTTTTGTAATGCGAAAGAGCGTATGTATATCAGTTTGTTTGTTAATCTTTCACACTGAAATGATTGGACGGATTTGAATGTATTTTTTTAGTTTAGTACACAGATATACTATGCCCTAGAGTAACACATAGGATAATATGTGTATTTTTTCGCGGATTTATTTTAATTTTTTGGTTCCCGACGTTTCGAATGGTATACAGCAATTATGGTCACGGGAGAGACTAAGGTTTTAGATATTTCAAATGTTATGATATACTTGTTACAGACAATGCTATACTAATAATTATTTTACTTAACTGTTATACTATATATTCGCGTAATCTAAGAAAGGAGTAAACTACCGTACAAAGAGCATTGAATGTATTTGAAAAATGGACATTGTAATATGATAATAATTTTATGTTATGTTAGGATTATGTCATGTTTAATATAGGTAATAAACAGTTTTCCAAGTTTATTGCTTAACTTTTATCTTTTTGTATAGGGAATAGATTGCAAGTTACAAATAGGCCTTTTATTCTATAATATTTAAAAATCAATTTTACTTGAGCGAAAGACTATTATATTATATGCTTATTTGATTGCAGAAAGAGCACAAATTAAAAGTGTTTGCTGGAGCGCGGGTATGCTTCGTGGGCTTCCCAGAGGATGAGACGCAACACATGGCGGACGTGCTCGCCAGCAACGGCGGCGCCACCTGCCCCCTCGACGACTCCGACTGTACTCACGTTGTGAGTTCTTACTCTAAAATTAACTCCATTACATATTTAAATATTTACAATAGTAATGAAATATTAGTTTTCTTAACACAAATATTCGATCTTCTAATAGGCTTACTTTTCAATTTTTAACCTACATATTACATAATTAAAAAGCTATTTATCAAAATTGAGGCAGAAAAAGAAAACAACATGTACAACTAAATACAAACGAAGCCACCAGTACAACAATAAATTCCTACTTATAAATATATAAATGTTAATCACAGAGCGTTTACCTCCGAATACTTAACATGCCGACTTATTTATATACTATAATATATGGCACATTAGTCACTAATTTTAGCATTATGAAATCAGCATGCATGTAGTATCCTTGGGAACACAAATCAATATTAGTTTAGTTACACTGTAGACTTTATAAATTATGGGTAGCGGTAGTTTTTTTTCCTATTTATTGTATTATTTTTCCCTTTCCGTTTCTCTTATACGTGTCGAGTATTTAGCGAGATATTCAATGTCAGCTATTGTTTGTTAAGCAAATCCCGCGCAAACAAATGCCCAGATTCAGTAAAATGTTGTTATTATGACATCTATACATGAGCTAGGCAAGTTAAAGAGCGATTATGCAAAATCCATGTTTGTATGTATTCTGCAGTTTCGCATCTATTTCTTAGAAATGCTCATTAAAACTTGTTTACGACGTTATCTTTTAACCCACATGGTCCAATGGGGCACAGCGCTAGTAGTACCAGTAGCCAGTTCCCTTTCGCACGGCGCGAAGTCAACCCATTGTCTGTTTCATTTGTTTCACCAGCTGTAGCAATAAAACGGCTTTTATCATTGCTTTAATTTTTTCCATTCAAAATCTATCCTTATTCAAAGCTTATTTATATTGACAGGTATTTCGCAAGACATAACATTAATGTACGATGTTGTACTGTTTGTTTACATTTGTCATTTCACAGTAACAGTTTGTACTATTTTTCATCCGCTTTGTATTCATTTCCCAACCTTGAATATGCTTTGATGGATGGTCGTAGAGAAATTGCGCACATTTTAATTTTTACCCTACTCCCATACTTTTACTTTGTATTTACTCTTATAATTTTTTATTAGATTATGAATAAATATGACATCTTGACGTTAATCTCGAACGGAGAGTTTGCTTCTATGTGTCTAACTTTTTCTATCACGACAGTAATAAAACAGTTGTGCATGTTTGTATTTGGAATGGCTTCATTACATCATTGCGTGGTGTGTTTCACACATGTTTCAGGTAATGGCCAATGGGGAGACTTTCGGTCGTTCGCTTATCCTTTCACCACATCTCAACACTCCCGATTCATCCGCAAAGCCCTCCCGTTCCACACCCAACCGATCCCAAACTACTCCAAAGAGCTCTCTTTACCGTAGACTGTCGGCACGTCTATCGGGCCGCCGCGCTAGTCCAAACAAACAAACAAACCAAACCAACGAAGATAATAAACGAGATGAAACTGATGAACGTTTACGACTTGCGAGAGACAGTATTAGAAATAGTATAAGTAATTATAAGGATAAATCCCAATCTGAAGATATCAGTATTATTAATGTAGATAAATCATTTATTGATGATTTTTGTTCTGATGTTCACGATAGAAATGTTGAAATGCGAAAACATAAAAATAATGATAAGGAAAACAAGTTTTTATCGCAAATCATTTATGGCGGTGCCAAAATGAATGGCAAGGAAAAGAGAGAAGTGTTTAGAAACAAATCAATAAATGTCTTTAACATAGTAGATTGCTTAACAGAGGCCGGGTCTCTGCATTCTTCGCTCACGAAAAGTTTATGTGATTTAGATTCAAAAGATGAAACAGAATTTCCGTTGCCAGTGTCATCGAGAAATAAAGAACTACAGCAATCAAACACGACTATTTCTTCTGGTAAAAAAAGAAGCCGAAATTCTACTGACTCTAATTTCCAAATAAGTGCCATAGATAGTAATAATTTATCTCCTGATAAGTCTGAGGACGTTAATTGGAAGTCAATAAAAAGGTTAAAGATTAAAGATTCTTTCAAGTTCAAGAACAAACCTACTATATTTAAAAGAACTAAAAAAGAATCTGTTTCTAAAACATCAGGTGATATAACAGTAGAAGCTGTGAGTCCCGATAGCGTTAAACCTACTGACCCTGCAGGAGAATTCGTTGCTTCGACCTCCTCGCCTATTAAAGAGTTTGATAACATATCCATTTCATCTATGAATATTAGTAAACAGTCTGGATTTTTTGATATTTCTTTTGCTTCAATAAGGAGTTCCAAAACGGTAAAATCTGCATCTAAACTACGAAGAAGCGTGAAGTCTTTCACTGCTTCCTTTCGAAGCGAGCGGAAGAAGAAATATGAAAAGAGAGCCGAACGTAACACGGTCGAAGTTAACCCTTGTCATCTACCGCCAGAACTGAAAAATGTTTCGACACCAAAGAGAGATTTAGACGATATGAATTTTGATATATCTCCGGTGCAAGTGGACACAGTGGACAGCACCGATATGAGAACTCCGGTCAGAGACGAGCCGGACGTGGACGAGTTAGATGACTCGGCGGTGTTCAAGACGCCGCAGAGCACGTGGCTGCGAGCGCACCGCCACGCGGCGTGCGGCGGCCCCGACCCACACCCCTCCCCCGCCCCCTCGCCGCGCCGCGCCGAGCTGCGCGTCTCGCCGCCCCCCACCCGCGACGCCCGCGCCTTGTCGCAATGCCATGGACTATCGCTACCGGTACTAACCCCATTTAATTACACTACTAAATATTAGATTAAGCTTGTCCTGATATAGTCGTTTAGGAGTTTCATTGTCGAGCGACGGACATCGCTTGCGATTCGAGGATACGAATACATTCTCGATAACTCTTCGCTGTTATGCTTGCATGTTACTTCGAATGTGTAGGTGCTTATAGAGCGTGCACAAGGAGGTGTGAGTTATATCACCACTGTGATAGGTTCTTATTGAAGAGAAGCAATAGAGATTATAACTAAGATTCTTTTAAATTTTAAATGTACACGTCAAATTGTTTTATTCAAATTGAATTCCGTATGATTAAGGTAGTGGACGAGCACAACACAGTTGTAGCACCGGAGTGTTCGCCGCGTGTTCATGTTGTCAAAGCAGAATGGTTCTGGGCCTCAGTACAAAATGAAGAAGCTCAAGACGAAAGAGAATATCTTTTCAAAGATGTAAGTAATCCTGAATCCTGAATTAATTTCAGTCTTAATTTTTTTTACATTAAAGTCGAATTTTAACAAATTACTTCTTTAATAAAACCTTTCAAATTTAAAATTGCGGCTTTGTAAAATTGACATTAAACATATCAACATATGCATACCAGCCACTTTAATTATATTAATACTGTAATATGATTTAAAAAAATATGAAAAATAAATTTACATGAATATTGAGTATACAATTCATGTTTACATGTAGTACTTGGAGGAGCTGTCACGACGGTCGTCGGTGGGCGGCGCGTGCGCGGCGGGCGTGGCGGCGGGCATGGCGGCGGGCGAGGCGGAGGGCGGCGCGGGCGCGGCGGGCGGCACGCCGGCGGCGCTGCAGCGCCTGCGCAAGCGCAAGCTGCGCGGCGGCGACGCGGCGCTGCACAAGCGGCGCTCGTCCGTGGGGGACGCCGTGCTGCTCAGCCTCTCCGGCAATCTGCTGGATTGTACGCCCTCGCCCGATGGCAAGCAGCTGCTTGAAGGTATTTTGTTGTTCTAATAATATTATTAAGTAAACTTGTAGAAAAAAATCAGAAATATTGTGAGTTAACTATTACTATTCACAAAGTAATTTTATAGAAGATAACATCTTCTAACAACTTGTGAAATAAAACTGAATTTCACAAACAGTAAAATACCTATATTAAATTTAAATTTTACATTTTAAATAAACAATATTTAAAATATTTACTTACAGAGTCCGAAGTACCTGACAATGTGGTGCGAAAATTGATGTCTCCGCGACAACAAGTTTTTATGGAATTACTTCAAACAGAATCAAATTATGTTGGAATACTGCAGACAATTGTAACTGTAAGTTACAAGTCCATATATTATGAATTTTATATAGTATGAAATCTTATGCTTTGTCATTGTTTGTAATAATGTAATATTATGTATATTTTTATTTTATTATAGATGTTCAAACAACCGCTGGAAGAGATGGCTGAGGAAGACACCAATAATGGCAAAAATCAAGCATTGCTCAATAACACTGAACTTAAAATAATTTTCGGCAATTTACCGCCTATTTATGAATTACACCAGTAAGTAAATATCAAAATGATTATTGTATTACTAGTTACAACCGATTGTATATAATACACCCTAAGTGCCTAACAGTAGTCTATGTGCTACCCAGTAACCTTAAGTTTGTTAGGGCCCTAAAAGTGGATTGTGTACAATAATTTTATGCTAGACGCTGGTTAATAATCTCGTCGTCTTGAATACGCGTTTACATAAAAAAGGAAAAGAACATAAATTATTTAAATTAAGGTGTCGGTCGTCTTGTCGGCTATAGTTCTAAGATGCAAGTGAGCGCTCCGTCACGTATCTCCGATGGTGTCTATTGTTGCGTATATCGGAGCGCAACAGTCTAAATATAATGCAAATTCGACCAGCCGCAATTACATGCAAAAACCTTTGCATTTATAATAGTAGTCTGTTTTAATTTTTTAATTAATCAATATTACTCGTTTACCATGAAATGAATGCAGAAGTAATATTGTTTTACAGGCGAATGCTGGAGGAGCTCCACTACGCGCAGGCGCACTGGAGCGAGGAGGTGAGCATCGGCCGCCTCGTGCTGCGCTACACGCCCGACATGGTAAAGGCCTACCCGCCCTTCGTCAACTTCTTCGAGAACACCAAGGAGATGCTGCAACAATGTGACCGTGAGAACCCAAGGTAACAACACTTATTGCAATTACTTTAGATTTCGGTGCTGTTTGGTGTTCCAATGAACTGCAGTTTTTAAATGTTAAAATAAACATGTTTTTGGTGTTAAATTATTATGTTTTCTTTTTTTAATTATTATTATTATGTCACAACTTATAGACTAAAATTTAAACTCAACTTTCAAGATTTATTTTGTAGTTAAGACATTTATAAATCACTTAAAAATATCTTATTCATCATTTTCTTATTTTGTTTAAAAAAGTAATTAGATTGTATTTTTTTTTAGATTTCATGCATTCCTGAAAATCTGTCAAACCAAACCAGAGTGTGGCCGTCAAAGTTTACAGGAATTATTAATAAGACCAGTGCAGCGACTACCTAGTATAAGCTTATTGTTAGATGGTAAGTTTCTCATAAGTTCTCTATTTTTTATTAGTAGAGCAAGTACAGTAGAAGACTGTGTTTTCAACGTCAAAAAAAAATCTTTGAGATTAGTATCATCTGAACAGGCAGCTTAGTTCAGAATAGTTCCTAAGATATTGATTTCCAAAATTTAAATACTTTTATTAATTATTTATATTTTTTGGGAAAATGTTAATAATATATTATTTAAATATTAGCATTGTCTGCTTTTATTAAGAAAGCTAGTTTGATTTAAAGGGGTTCTAAAGTAGGAAGATGGCATTAACAACTAGCCGTTATTTTAATTTTGTTTCAAGTAGGTGATGTAGGCGCACGATAAAACTGGTTTGAACTGGAATTTATAGAGGACAATTAAACAAAGTGATAGTTTAAAGTAAGGATCTCTTATATTCGATATATGTAAACGGTTTTTTGAATACAACTGTATGTCAGTTATTAACACGAAATGAGTTATTTGTAAATGTTTGCCATTGTTTTGTTGCGACATATGCAGATATCTTGAAGCACACGCACAAGAGCAACCCAGACCACGCGGCGCTGGTGTCGGCGCTGGCGGGGCTGCGTGAGGTGATGTCGCACATCAACGAGGACAAGCGCAAGACGGAGGGCCAGCTGCAGATGTTCGACATATATAATGATATCGATCAGTGTCCGGTAACATACTTTGTGTTATAACATTTTTTTTAAAGTATTATCACGGTATTAAAATCCTTACGGCAGGCGTTCGTCTTGGATTTTAATAGAAAGACTGTCAGATGTAAGGGATGTCTAAAAAACTACTAATTTCTTAGAAGCTTACAAGTTCAAGTTCTGTAGTGCCTTCTGGTGGCAAGTTACAGTTACACCCCTTAACTTTCATACACAACTGTCATACAAAAGTGAGGGTGCGCCTTACCTACGTCTCCGCGCGCACGCCCCGCATATTGCCCTGTCTAAATATCTACGTAAGACGACTGTATGTAATATAAGACTGTGATATCTTTGCCAATCTTTAATTATCTATACAGATAAATATAATTAAAGTGTCTTTTTGAAATTTTATTATAACAGCATTTTTACTAAATACTTCTATAATAATATTATAATACTACTGTGAAAGTATATATGGCACTAATAAGAAAAAAAGAATTTATAATTTTTTTGCTTGTCTGTCTGTCTATTTGTTCTGGCTAATCTCCGAAACAGCTGTAACTCAGGCTAATTTTATTTTAGAAAAAGATTCAAGAATCCGCTCAAAAAAATATATAAAAACATGAAGTTGTGTACAAAGCGTACAAAAAAGTACGTAAAGTGATGGTAATTCGCTAGTTATAAATATAAATAAATTTTCCTTTATAATATATAATTACAGGCTCACTTAGTGTCGTCACATCGATCGTTTGTGTCTCGCTGCGAAGTGGTGGAGCTGTCGAAGGAATTGTCCGGGCGTGGTGACCATCTCGTTCTATTCCTTTTCACTGATACCATGGAAGTGTGCAAGAAAAGATCAAAGGTAAGAAGTAAAAAAATATGATGTCATCGCGTAAATACATTTGATAAATAGGTTCATTTGTAAAAGTTTATATATTATAGCAACAAAATAGTAAAAGAAAGAGTTAGAATAAATAATCTATACTTATTATAAAAATAAGTCCCCCGGCCGCGTCTTTCTGTCCTCCTGTCTGTCCTCCTGTCTGTCTGTACGCGATAAACTCGAAAACTACTGAACGGATTTTTATACGGTTTTCAACAATAGAAAGAGTAATTCTTGAGGAAGGTTTAGGTATATAATTTATTATGCTTTTATGTAAATTAGCTGAAATACGGCGACAAATGTTGAAGAGGTCGCAAAAAATCTCGCCAAATGGGAACTTTCCACGCGAACGCCGCGTAAACTAGCAAAGATACAGTTAAGTAATGTACTAGAGAATTCAAAATCTATAAAAATGCTACAAAAAAGTCCGCGATAGCATATCTCTATCTCTTACGGTTGACTTACAATAACCACTTTTATGTTAACATTTTTAATTAAAAACATTACGTTATTTTCAAAGTTATTTTCTTTAGTTCGGTATTAATCCTTATCCAAATGAATATTTTAGTTAGCTTAGTCATTTAATGCAGATTAAAATTGCTCTTTACACTAAATCAATCAGATGAATAGTTTTTGAGATATCGTTGTTAGAAGTAATTAGTAGCGAAACATTTTTAATGCTTGGCGAGCATTGAGATGCCTACGGCGAGTCCATCCCCTCTGCCCCGCATCGCTCGACCGCCTGCTCAAGCTATATAAACCGGGCGATGTAGCGCGCGATCCTAGGATACTTTTTACCGCGGGAAAATATCTTATTTCTGAGGAAAAATACAAAAACTGCAATGTAAGAGTATACTAATATGTAACACCTAAGAATTTAGTTTTTGGTCATCTGAACGCGGGCGGAGCCGCGGGCAATGCTAGTATTAAATAATACTCATCATGTACGTGTTGTTTTTATATTCATTCTGTTAAATAAAGATAAATAAAATATTCGAAAATTTGTCAGGCTTTCAACAGTAAAAGCCCAACGAACGGCACCGGCACCATGCGGATAGGCTCCAGCAAGCCCTACCGCCACATCTCGCTGATGCCGCTCAGCACCGTCAAGCGCGTCGTCGACATACGGGAGGCGGAAGGTGAATATTATCTTTCTTCATATCTTTTTTTTAATGTTGGGAAATGCATTTACGCATACCACCTGCAGACATACAGGTGGTTATGTGGGATTCACCGGCTAGAAAAACCAGTACTACCCACTAAAACCCAACAAAACCTTCCCCGTCTTAATGGGGCATCGCAGAATCGCTTACGCACTCAACCACGACACCCTGACTGATGTCTCTTCATATTATGTAGTCCAACTTGTCGCAAATGAAATGGAAATATTTATATCCTTTTTTTTTAATTATTCAATAATAGATTTTCTCTAATTTTAATGTTAAAATATGTGGTAAGCTTAAAATTTTATCTTAAGACATCTCTTATAGAGACCCACTTTTATCCACGTCATTTTCTATATATTTTTGTTTTTCTTTCTTTGTTTTTTTTTTTAAGCGCAATAAGGAATATATCTATACATATATTAAAATTGTAACTAAGCTGAATCTGTACGTAAAATATTTTTTGGAAAATGTTATTGAAATAAACATTATTATCAATGCAGAGGCCAAATCTATACTTTTTAAAATTTTTGTCTGTCTGTTACCGCATCACAGAAAAAACACTGAAGTGATTTTATGACATTTGGTACTATGATAGCTCGTTATCAGGGTCAACATATAGGATAATTTTGACGGCGGGAAAATGTGTCATTTCTGAGAAAAAATACAAAAACTTCAATGTAAGAATATACTTGTATGAAAAACCTAAGAATTTGGTTTTTGGTCATTAGAACGCGGGCGGAGCCGCGGGCAATGATAGTTAATTATAAAAACTTACCTATTTTATTACAGTAACTACTATGTATGTATAATTGCTTAGATATTCCTTGATCTTAAGTTATAATTATAATCGCTACCGTCATTAATGAACGATTTGCAAATGTTGTATCAAAAAAGCTTTTTAAGAAAGTATAATAGATTTAAATTTGATTTATTATTTTCTTCCGCAGACTGTCACAATGTATTCGCGCTGATGTGCCGCAGCAACCAGGAGCTGAAGGAGAAGCTGTACTCCTTCATGATCACGGACGAGGCGGTCGACAAGTCGCACTTCCTGCGCCAGCTGTGCCGGCAGATGGCCAACACCGTCTGCAAAGCTGATGCCGTATGTCATAATCTACATAGTCTCTTTTCGATTCTATATCTATAAATTAACGATATTCGAACATTTTGAACCCATTAAAAATATTTTTTGAGAAACCGTGGAAAATAGGCCTCTGTTTCACCTATGACATCCTTTTTTAATGAAAATCTTTGCCCACCAAGCCATTTTTACATGTTTAGGACTTGGGTGTGGTAATAATTGATATCGTATTTCAACGAATTTTGACGTCATAATTGCAGTCGAGTGTGCCAGAGTATTATCATAGGGAAAAAATGTTTTCTTTGCTGATGCTTTGCTAATAATGCAGCATAGTAAGCTTTGGCTATTGTCCTGCCTTTCTTTAAAAAAATAATATAAATGACTCGTTGATCATCTCAAAACAAAGTGGTTATAACTATATCTGCCGAACAGATAGTTTTTATCTTCTTTGGGGTACATTCTACGGTTACAGATTCACTTTGACTGTTGTTTGTGACACTATAGACGCTTAGTGTTTATTGGTGAAACTATACTTCCATAACGGTTATGTATCGATGAAAAAATTCCCTTGGTTTGCGGTTAAATATGAGTACACCTTGATCTGAAGTTATTACGCAATTACATTTTTGGTCGACTGTTTGCAAAAAGCTTTTTAATATCCACAATATTGCATAAAATATAAAAAAAATCGTTTAGTCAAGATGGTTACAGCGTCAGCTATCTCGTGTATCTTCACTTGACGGTCTGGAACTAAACAATATCGAGGATTTTATTAACATTAACCTCAGTAGCGCCTTCCTGGTTTCTCAACATCATTAGTGGTAGTACATACACAACAAAACTTAGTAAATCACTATGTATTATTTATTCCATGAGACCGAGCAGATTCACAATATATAATATCTTTTTAGTTGATCCTTCATTCTGCTTTTTTATTTTCCACGTTAAAACTGACGTTTAGTTACGACTTGAAATTCGTTTTTCTTTATTTTCACAAAATATTTCGAACGCACTTACCCTTTTGTTTCTTATTTTCGTGTTAATTTTAAAAAAGAATGGCAGTAGCACAGTTAAAGAGTTCCCAATAACTATGAATCAAAAATGATTTTTCGATTTTTTTTTATATAACTTTTTTTTACACCATAAAGGTGGACAAAAGTATTTATTAGCTAAAAAAATATTAAAAAACTAATATATGAGTAAATTACAAATATACTTAATTATATATACAAACATATGTACACTTAGTTATTACTGTACAAGTCATGTAATTTTTAAGTCACTGATTTATAAAACGACCCTCGTATATGTAAAAAATAGTAACTGTATATTAAAAAAATAAACGGATAGTTATTTCCTGTAACAGGATAAATTCCTTGCATGCCTGGAGTCGCACCAGCTCGACATCGACACCAGCGACCTGGCGCTCAGCACGCTCTCCAAGGTGTCCAAGTTCGCCGCGCGCACCCGCATCAAGGTACACACGCACGTGTGCACACGCTTTATATACACATAAATACTTATATCGCAGTATACAAGTCCATACAGTAGGCAATCGGTTATTGATTTTAACGGAAATAATGTCATATGCAAGGGTTGTCAAAAATACGTATCAATTTTTATGGCGAACTGTAACGAAGTTGAAGCGCAGAAGTACCACTCGTGGCAAGTTAGTGTTATACCCGCTAAGCTATTTCCGAACCGTCATATATAAGTGAGTATGACAGTCGGGAGCGTGTGACCCACGTCGTACTTCGTGCGCCCCCCAGGTTTGCGTGGCTTAGGAACCTTTGTAAGACGACGTATGGATTAGTAGACTGCTTATATACACAGTAGAATCCTATAAAACAAAAGTTTTTATATAACAATCATGATTAGAATGTAAATATTTTATTTTTAAATAACGTAAGTTACTTTTTGTTATTTTCTCAGCATGTTTTACAGTTTAGAATAGTCTATAGCTTAGCTTACGTCGTCAAGTAACAAGTAAGTTAATATTTTTGGTAAGTGCTGGCAAAATTTGTAAGCAGCTCGGTCACTAAGGCATGAACATCAGTATCATACTTAATATCTCTCAGTACAAATCGAAATTCATTATATGTAACATACATATAACTATTACAGAAATGGAATAATGGTAGATAATGTAAAGTATGCGTCGCTGAAAATGTGAGTTTGTAAGTAGCAATTTAGCAAAATTTAATTTTTAATTGAATATTTGCAGCAGTAAATTCAGCAACATAATGTTAAAATGGCTTCTATTTTAATAATGTTTATTATTATTAATTATAATTAATGAACAAAATATCCAGTGTTTATTATGTTTATCGCACAATTAAAGCCTTTACTTTTTTGCCTTTGCGTTTCTTGTCCTACGCACTTATTACATGTCAACTGTACATATAACGAAGAACGAATTGGACATAGCGAATAAGAGATGGATATACCCATAAAGAAATATGCAACCAGTTCAAAATCAGCAGTTTTGTACATATAAGTCAGTGTAGTCGTAAACAAACTGAATCGGTTCCCGTGACGTGTGGTGGCAAAATGTAAAGTGGCCACTGGTGTGTTGTAGCTGGAGGCGCTGGCGGGGCTGGGCGGCTGGCTGCGCGCAGACCCCGGCGCCGTCCTGCTTGACACATGGGTATTGCGCGCTCACTTACTCGCACAGGTCTGACACCCGCCGTCCCGCTCACACTCGCCCTCGAGCCCACTAGCTGCTTCCTGTCTCGCCACTCATGCCAATGTCGTGTCATCGTCCTCAAACGATACTGGACTCTGGACTGTTGTATTAGAGTGCATTATGGCTTACCTTATTTTAGATTGGTTCGCATCGCTTTCCAAATATGTCACGCATATCTTAAATTTTGTTCTCTAATTATATTGTATAACAATTTGATTGAAGTTGTTAGTGTTCTAAACAATCATCTTTAATAGATAGACTTTAAATGATTTGTTTTATTTGAAAATACACATATTCAATTGTAAATTATTATTTATCTGTTTTCCATATTTAAAATTGAACCTCATATTAAAAATATTGGCTGTCACTTAATTTAGAAGTATTGTTCAAAATTTTCTTAATGTTGGCAACACGCAGGAATCAGCGTGTGTGTATCGGTGAATTTTGACTTAAATAAAAAAAAATTGCAGCATTCATTTTATTAAAGGTATATCATTGATATTGGGAACATTACAACTAATAATAATATCATCACACATCATATTTCATTTTATTCATGCTTATTGTAAAGCATGCAGCATTTGTGATTAACTGTTTGTGAGCGTGCCATACCTGAGGTTTTTGGGATATTTCTTACACAAATGTTTGTGACGTAGTATTTGTTCTTACAGGGTATTGGAACCGAATGTGATTTTTCATGTACTAATTGTCATTCATACTGTTCATTGGTTAACTATTTATTACTATTGTTTTATAATATATATATATTATTATATGTAATATATAATCTCTAAACATGTATGAAATAATCACATTATAATGTGAGTGAGTGATGTGTATTGAGGCCATTACAGCTATGAATATGTTAGTAAAATAGTGAGTCTCATTTTTTCTCATATTATGTTCTTTACGAAATGAAAAGTGTAAAAAAAGGAATCAAAAAATATTTAAATTTGGAAGTTTGTAGTAGCCTCGATATTATTATATAACTTAGAATTATTTTTCAAACAATGATATTAATTTATTAATGATAAAATATTGTTAACACGAGTAAGTACATAAGATTGTTGCACGCAGGTGGGGCGTGCGCTGTCCTTCAACAAGACGCCCTCGAAGCTGAAGCGCGCCATGTCGTCGATGATCTCCCCGTTCGGCTCCACGTCCAACCTCACGCCCGCGTCGCAGCTCGCGCAGATGAGGCTCGCCAGTTGCAATAATATAAATGTATGTTACACTTATTACTTTATATTTGAGACTAGCTGAACCGATAATGTTATAATACTTTATTAGATTTATGCGAATATTTGACATTTTAAATAAAACTATCTTTTCGGTTTTTTATGCCGATTTATTTTCATTTTTGGTTTCCCGTCATCTCCCGTGACCATGATTGCTGTAAAGCATTCGAAACGTCGGAATCAAAACAATCAAAATAAATCGACGAAAAATACGAAAAGGTTGTTTCTTTTAAAATTCTGATAATGTGAATTAATTAATTTATGATCTTTTTGAAAAAATGTAGATTAGAAGTTGTATTTTCATAAAACATTATTTGTTGTTTGTTAACAAGAGTAACTACCGAATTACCCTACCTTCGCTGGGATGCCTAACAGTAGCTTATCTCTTACTCCAGGTCATAGTCTTATCAGTGTACTAACAAAGTTTCAGCCAAATCCTTTCGACCGTTTCAGCGTGAAGGAGCAACAAACATACACACCAATACAAAGTTTCGCATTTACAATAGTAATCCCATAATGTTACGCTGTGCGTGCCAGGAGATGGGCTCGAGCGCGGGCGGCGGCGGCGCGGGCGCGGCGGTGCTGGTGGCGCCGCTGTCGGTGCAGCCCACGCGCAAGGCGGCGGGCGCGGCCGCGGCGCTGCGCCGCTTCTGACGCCGCTCCCAGCGCCGTCTGCACTACATGCGCGCGCGTACCCGTGCGCCTATTGAATGATCCTTATTTATTTTTTTGTCGAGCTGCTGGAACAGAAGTGCCTTGCTAGTATTGAAAGGATCGAACCGACAATCGGTTCGATAGTCGTCTGATAGTATTATTTTGAAATGAGAGGAGTGGGAATGAAGAAACTTCATTCGTAAATACGTATGTTGTGAGTTAGGTTTAGTGAATCGAAACGGCGTGACGCGTCGCGAGTACGCTAGAGCTTGTGGTATCGAGTTGTGCAACTATAAACCAAATGAAATCGAATAAAATTAAATCAATAAGTTTAAGGACCGGCGGCGCGACCCACAGTGCGGCCGGTCTCATCTCCACTATTGGCGGCTCTAATTGTGTAGCTAGTTTTGGGATCTGTGTAATATCGTGAATAATTTAAATCAGATTTTAAAAAAAAACTTTGTGTCACATAGTAATATTGATATTATCGAATAGTCTTGAGTAATATGTACATATTGTGATATTTTAATTTAATTGTGAATTAGACAAACGTAGGTTAGAGTAGTGCCCGTATCCGGTCAACTATCATGTCCGTCTCGTGCTGATTTTAAACGTTCCTAATATTTGCCTCGTTTCTTATGAACGTTTAATTTACTAGATATCCATTGGCGAACATCGACGAGCGCCATCGTCCTTGTTCTTTCGTGCGTGTGTTATCTGTTTTATTTAATAATACTTAAAGTTTTACCAAAAAGCTCAAAAGCTGTGACACGCACCGACATTATCATGTGTACTACTGCTAATAATAATGCTGCTACATTGTACAAAGGTCTATATTTATAAATATTTTAATGATTGAAAGAATAAACGTTTATTTTCAATCACTGGCTTTTTAATTTTTCCTTCTATTTAATAAACATAATCACAATCACTTGGGGCGCCGCGCCGGGCGCAGGAACGTGTACGCGTTGCGGGCGGCGCGTGCAGCAGGCGCTAGCGCCACGGCCGCCAGCGCCGCGCTCGCGCCGCATATGAACTCCAACGGCATCTCCGCACTCCAAATTACTGATAATTTAATTAAGAGTGTTGCCTGTCAAATGTTAAAAACTCTTTAAAAATAGCTACTGATATGGAAGAAGAGTCGCTATTTGCTGTGGTTTGCAGGTTTTATTTATCATTGTATGTAAAAATTAAAAATGAGAGATGCTTAGGGATTTTTTTTCCACTCTGGATAAACAAAATTAAATATACATATTATGTGTCTCCAAAAACACACAGCATTGAGAAGAAGAAGCAGCTCTGTGTGTGTGTCAAAACTATCGAGAATACAGATTAAAACATACCTGAATCCAAAAAAGTTTGATAATTAGGTTACCAGAGGGCGCAGGCATCTGCTTGCCGCCTTTTCCGCTGTCAAGTGTCATAGCGTTTTGTGATTTGAAAAAGTTTACATCGAAAAGTTAAGAGTAAATTAAAAGTCGATGAAAATTAAGTTTTAGGTGAATTTTATGTGTAAAAAGGAGATTGGTAAGCATTGTTAATATTTTTAAAACATGGAACCTATGCGTTACGACGACGTGAAGGTCGGTCGGAAGGTTTTGCTCTAGAGGGAGAACGTATCTCGGCCTTGACCTCTGCAGCTTCGGGGAGCGGCTCCTCTTTCTCGGAGGTTGAGGAGGGCTTGGCTTTACCCATGCATAATAAACGTCGTAGAAGGCATAAGTGAAATTTAGATACTATGGTAGGTATATACCTTTTTTTTTTTTTTTTTTTTAACGTTGGGAAATGCATTTACGCACGAAGTGTGGGACTCACTGGCGAAGCCAGTACTACCCACTAAAACCCAACAAAACCTTCCCCCGTCTTAATGGGGCGTCGCAGGATCGCTTACGCATTCAACTACGACGCCCCGACGGCAGGTCTGCCGAAGCAGACCACAACAACCATGGGGTTGCTCCACGGTCCACTCTGCTATCAGAGAAGTACCAGGAGCAACCCGCATGGTACACCACCCTCCGAAGAAGGCCGCCTCCCACCGCCCACCGAAGCGGGCCACCTCCCTGTGCGTTTCTTGGCTTCGCGAGTACACTACTGAGCCCCCCCCACCACAAAGGTAGGTATATACCTACTTTAATCTCAGATGTGCTATACATATATTAAATATTTAATACAATTACCAGCTTATATGTATTTGTATACATAAGATAGGGTAGTTACGCTCATTCTGAGAAATTTATTATTAATTCTAATCAACTGTCAACAAATGAATTACCAGAAACATTAATATTAATTCTTGAAAAGGAAGTAACGTACTTTTTGACCATAGACGCAGCGGATGCGGGCTGGGCACTTAGCACTTAGACAATCTAAGGAGTAGACAGGCTCCAAATCAAATACCTTGGCACTCCAATCTAGAGGAGGAGTATGCACTGTTTGCTGTGATCAAGGCACAGGTGTCTTTTTTAAGGAATGCGCACATACTGGAGCAGTCCGATAATCAGACCCTAGTCGCCTATATATATATCGGAATTGAGGGGGACTCGCTCTATGAACTTGTCTGATAAAGGTATGAACCTTCTGGTAGGTCTGTTGGGTTAAAACTTAAAAGTAACGAATTCTATCAATATAACAATCTCAGCTTTTTACCTCCCAGGAAAGTTAAACGGTATCGCAAATCGCCTAACAAGGGGAAAGCAAGTACCCGAATGACATCTAGTCCCGCCAGCCACGGAGGCCTTTTTTTGAAGTTGGGGGATACTAGATGTTGATATTTTATGTGGAAATAAATAAAAATGACTGATTGAATATAACAAATATATATTATTAGCAGTAGCACGACCAAAGAGTATAGTTACAAACTGAACACGGCACAAATGATGAAAAAGAGGTTTTATGCTTACATGACGCGATTTATATACAGTTTACATTGACAGGTCATGGATGTTGCCAACTTAATTATAATTTGTTTGCGTTCTTACTTGCCAACACTCCCCACAGAACGCAAACCCATTTTACTTATACAGAACAAATGTTTTTCAAAAGTCGTACCTTTAGTAAAGTTATCAGCTACCATATTGCAACTATTTACTAATTTAAATTTAACTTTAGAATTAACAATGTTATCTCTAAGAAAATGTAAACGAATATCTATATGTTTAGTTTTAGATTTATAACAGTCTGTTGATGCCAGTCTTATTGCACTTTGATTGTCACAATGGATGAGTAGCGCGCTGTCCACGCCTTGCCCGAGCTCGTCCTGCAGTTGCCGCAGCCACAGGGCCTCCTGGGACGCCGCTGACATCGCCATGTATTCGGCCTCCGCCGTAGAGAGTGCCACGGTTTGCTGTTTACACGAATTCCAAGATAAACAAGCATTCTGAAACAGAAAAATATAACCCGTACATGATCGTCTATCCACTGGGTCACTCGCCCAGTCAGCATCACAATATCCAGTTATTTCCTTTGAATCATCTTTGACATAGCATAGCTTCAGGTTCCTGGTTCCTTGAAGATACCTCATGATCCTTTTTATTCCAAGCCAGTGTTGATTTCCTGGATTATTACAGTACTGACTCAACTTGTTAACTGCGTATGTAATATCAGGTCTCGTGACATGTGCCAGATATATCAGACATCCCACTGCTTCCCTGTATGGGATATTTTTGTTTCCATCTTTGGGATTTTTCTCAAATTTTGCATTCACCTGTATCGGGGTACGAACTGGTTTGCATTCAGACATATTAAAGCGGTCTAATACTAGGTTAATGTATTTTTCTTGATCTAACATAATCATACCTGCCTCTCGGTTCCTGCTTATATTTATGCCGATACAGTTCTTCATTTCACCTAGGTCTTTCATACTGCATTCTCCTTTTAACTTGTTTTTAATCTCTGTTGTTTTATCCTCATTATTTGTGAATATTAAAAGATCATCCACCCACACTGCAATGAATATAGTTATAGACTTATTAACTAAATAATAAATACAGGGATCTACATGTGATCTTTGTAAGCCAATTTTTAATAAAATATTATTTAATTTAAGATTCCACTGCCGGCTAGCTTGTTTGAGTCCATAAATTGATTTATGTAAAATACATACTTGATCATTTTTTTTGTAGTATTCTGGTTGTGACATGTATATCTCGGTATCTATGTCACCCTGAAGAAAAGCACTTATAGCATCCATCTGAAAAATTTCTAAATCATACTTCGCGGCCAGTGAAAGTAAGTATCGAACAGATGTATACCTTACAACAGGAGCATATGTCTCATCATAGTCACTTCCTTTCCTCTGAGCATACCCTTTGATAACCAGTCTTGCTTTAAAACGGATAATCTCACCTTTGTCATTTGTTTTAGTTTTATAGACCCATTTACATGGTAAGACTCTTTTCCCAGATGGTGCATCAACCAGTGACCAAGTTTTGTTTTTAATCAGAGAGTCATACTCTTCTTGCATAGCCTTTTTCCATTGGTCAGCATAAGGTGATGATAATGCGTCGTCAGTTGTCTGTGGATCATTTAAATTAAGTATCGGACAGAAGTAACTTACATCATGGTCATCTGTTTCTGCATACTTAATAGGTCTCCGTGGACGTAAATTTATGTTTCTTAATGATGACTCGAGATCAATCGATTGTTCTGGTATGTAGGATGTATTGTCATTATCATCAGACTGGTAGTCCTCGCTTGACTCATCAGTAGAATGGTTTGTGCCGTGCTCTCTTTCATCATCTGTGCCGTGCTCTAATTTTTCTTTACAGGTCTCTTCGGGTGGCTGTATCTCTGGACTGCTGCTCCTAAAGATTCTTGCTCCATTGGTCCACATAAATCAGTGTGGACCAGTTGCAGTGGGTGTGAAGATCTTGAACCGATGTTGTTAAAGGGCAATCTGGTCTGTTTCCCAGAGAGGCAGGTAGTACAGGTAATAGAACCTTTATTTTTGTTTGTGAACGGCTGTACTCCCTCAGCACACTCTGGCAGCTTGTTAACATCTGAAAAATTCAGGTGTCCCATGCGTCTGAATTTTACTTTCTTCATTACCATTTAGCAATAAATTGACCTTTCCCATACTATCCACAGGTAGCGGTGTCTTACTGGCAACAGTTATGGTGGGTATCGGTGGACTTGTGACATCATACATCCAGTCACATCTATTTGTCATATGCATGGAGGCACCTGAGTCCACATACCACAGGTCCGGATTCATTGTATGAGATGCTGAAAAAGCTGCAACAAAACTTTTATTACTTTCTATATTTTCTACATTCTTCCTTTTCGGAGCATGACAATTCCTTGCAAAGTGTCCATGCTTGTTACAATTATAACATCGGGGTCCTTTGTGAACCTTTGTTGAATCATGTTGATTTCTTTGAATGACCTTTTTCCTTGTGAAGAATGCTGAGTTATCTGAGCATTGAACTTCCTGCAGGAGTTTAGATTTAATAGAATCTGCACTTATCTTGATGCCAGAGCTCTCCAGTCCCATTATCATGGGCTTATATGCTTCAGGGAGGCCAGCTAACATCAGTGTACCGAGCCATTCATCATTTACGTCAAACTTGATATTCCTGAGCTTGTGAGCAGTCGACATGATTTTATTCACATAATCATCTACGCTTCGAGAAGATTATAATGTAGTTGTTATTAGGTCTCTCAACAAGGCTACTCTCCTGTATAACCCGCTGTCATCAAAAGCCTGTTCCAAACTCTCCCAGACTTCTTTTCAAGTACTTGCATTCTGAACATGTACGTAAATGATAGGGTCCAGTAATAAAATCAACTTAGATTTCGCCTTGATTTCTTTGTTCTTGTCTGTATTGGTACCTGTGACACAACTCCATATATCGTCGAGTTCGAAATATGCTTGGACTGCAAACTTCCAACTGGCATAATTATCTCTTCCAGTTAATCTGTCGATATGAAATGGATTGTAACCTGAATTCGACATCTTCTATGCGTATTTAAGATTTTTACGGTTTGTGACTGAGCACGCGGTACGCCACGCCGGATAACCACAAAATGGCGAACAACACGCCGGCCGGTATTCTTAGTTTTACTGCTAACTGCGTTACTTTTTCTTCTTTTATTTCCACAATTAGTAGCAATCAACCACGCTCTGCTACCATGTTGATATTTTATGTGGAAATAAATAAAAATGACTGACTGAATATAACAAATATATATTATTAGCAGTAGCACGACCAAAGAGTATAGTTACAAACTGAACACGGCACAAATGATGAAAAAGAGGTTTTATGCTTACATGACGCGATTTATATACAGTTTACATTGACAGGTCATGGATGTTGCCAACTTAATTATAATTTGTTTGCGTTCTTACTTGCCAACACTAGACATAGACCTGTTCGCGTTCAGCGAGACCGCC